CCAGGGGCGGAGAGGGTCCACGGCCAAACCGCCGCTCAGAGCAGGTGCCGCGCAATGCCCGGGGACCCTTGTATATCCAGAGCCCTTTGAAAGCCGAGGACAGCCTTGGCCATCCCCAGCCAGTACACAGAGAGGGTAAAGTCCGCCTCACAGAGGCCGGGACTCGCGGACCCCACTCCCAGAACCCGCAGCCCCGGGCTGCACCCCGTCCGCCCTGGGGTGGCCTGGGCTCCTGCTGGAGCTTAGCACAGAGGGGTCTTAGGACGGGTCCTGCGCGTGTGCACGGCCAGCCTCCCATTGTGCGCAAGAGCCGTGCTGGGACTGGAGAGGGGGCGGCGGGGCTTCAGCAAGGACTGAGGAGCGGGCGCCGAGGGCCACCTGGGCAGTTTCGGGACCTGCCCCGCCGACCCCCGCAGTGAACCTGCTCCGATGCTGCTTCAGGGAGGGTGGGGCCGCAGGGGCCTCGGGAGGGCTTGCGTGACAGATCCTTTGTGTTTTGTCACCTCCACCTCCGCCGCACTTCCCAGCCCCACGGTCTCTGGAGCGCGGATTTCGGTACTGGAGGCGCTCTGGCGGCAAGCAGGTGAGCGCACAAGGAGCCAGGCAGCCACCGGGCGGCCGGAGAGGTTGCGGGCGCCCTGCCTGCCTGCCTGCCAGCGAGCCATCCTGCCGGCGGATTTAAGTGTTATTGATTTGCCCGTGTCTGCGTGGCTTTGCTTTTTCCCTGCTTTAATCTTCATCTTGGCCCGCACCCTGCCACCCAGAGCTCACCCGGCATCCAGGAAGCAAGCGGGTTGGCCCATGGGCTCTGGCTGCATTATTTTTTTAATAAGGAATGGGTGGAGACACTGGGGAGGAGGGAGTGAAAGGAAAAGCAGCAAAAAAAATTACCTCCCCTGGCTGCCCCACCAGCAGGCGGTCCTGACCCCTCTGCCCAGCCCTGGCCTCAAGGCCCGCAGCAGCCCAGGCACTGGGGGCTGAGAGAGGAAGGGAGGGGAAGAGGTCAGGGTTCAGTAAGAGTCGCAGGGTGACTCGGGGCCACATCTGCCGCTCCCAGGCCTCGGGCTGTCCATCTGTAAAGTGGGCTGGAGGGTTAAAGTCCCTAGTCCGCGACAGGACCAGCTCCCCCGCTTCTGGTCAGATGCATCTATTGGATAGTTCCCCTGCCACCTTGGATCCAGGGGTGTCAGTACCTACAGCACATCCCCTGATTACTCTCAGTGCACCTGGCACCTCCTAAGCATTTTCCGTGTTCTTATCCAGTTAATTTTCACAGCCCCGGGAGGTGAGGGCTGGTTATCCACATTTTCATTTTAGGGTGGAAGATCTGCAGCACAGAGAGATGTATCTTACCTGAAATCACACAGCCAGAAAGTCAGGGCAGTTCAGGTGGCAGCTCAGCCAGCTCCCCGAAGGTGCTGGCCTCTTGTTGCTCTGCATTTGGGCACAGGATGGCCCCGCACCGTCTGCTGGGGTGGGAATCCCACGGGTCAGCTAGGCTCAAAGGTTCACGCTGACCTGCAGCCGTGGTCCTGTGGTGCCCCTTCCATGGGCGGTGTGGCTGAGAAGTGTTTCTGAGAAGAGGGCACCTTCCTCCGGTCCCAACCTCTGTCTCCCTGCGCCCCTCCAGTGGCTTCTCCTCGGTGTTGGCTCTGGGCGCGAGCATCATCTGTAACAAGATCCCAGGCCTGGCTCCCAGACAGCGGGCGATCTGCCAGAGCCGGCCGGACGCCATCATCGTGATAGGAGAAGGCTCGCAAATGGGCCTGGACGAGTGTCAGTTTCAGTTCCGAAACGGCCGCTGGAACTGCTCTGCACTGGGCGAGCGCACGGTCTTCGGGAAGGAGCTCAAAGTGGGTAAGTGTTCCCCAGACACCCCAAGAGGGGCCTGGCAGGCTTTGGGGAGGCCAGCGTACCCTCAGGAATCCTCTAAACCATTCACCTGCCCCCTGCACAAATGCTCCTCAGTACAGGACAATGGTGGTGCCAGGACTTGGACTCAGGTCTCCCCGTGGCCGCCGGGACTCTGGTTTGAAGCCACATCACCCCAGCCACTTAGGGCCAAAATTGCAAACCAGCAACAGCAGCCCAAAGGCTCATGGGCTGACAAGGCTGTTTTAAACAGAATCCCCATTTTAAAATGATCTGTTTCATGTAAAAATATAAATTTCCAGCTTCTTTGGAAAAATCAACAGATCTACTGAGAGCTGACAGGTGCTCCCTGGCCTGCTTGGAGCTGAGAACCCAGCTTCCTGTGTGCAGGTGAAGCAGGGGCAGCCCCTTCCCCGCCACAGTCCGCACCACTCCCTGCTGTACCCGGTGTGGCTTGCACAGCGCGGTGATGTGGTGCACCCGAGCCTGGGAGCTTCTGACTTTGCAGCCCCTGTGTTTTAGGAATGGCACATGCAGACAGGCAGGCACGCATGCACACAGCAGAGACACACCGAGAGCTGAGCTGCACATTCGAGCTCTGAGGAATTTCTGCCGGGAGAGGGGTAGAGAAACATGCTGGTCTCTGGGAGGCCCTGCTCAGTGGTGGAAGGCCATGCGGTGTGTCTGGACTTGCGGTCCAAGACTGCAGCGGGCTCACTTCCACCCAAACTTCGCTGCAGGACAGGTCAGCTTCGGGCTGGGGGCTCAGCCTTCCAGCTCCGCTGCTCCAGAGCCACTGGGAGCCACTGCCAACACATCGGGGTGGGGGGTTGAAAAGTCCTGCCCCCACTCCTGCCACCTGCTCCCCCTCAAGTCACATTGCTGACACCCCTGGGCTGCCAGGCCGCCACATCCCCATCTCCCTGCAGCCTCTGGCCATTTGAAGACCTTTCTGCTACTAGCAGGCAGCAGATCCTTTTTAAATGGAAATCAGGTCATGCCATCACCCTGCCTAAACCCTTTGGAGGCTCCGTCCCAGCAGAATGAAGTCCCAGCTGCTCCTCTGGCCACTGCTGACCTCTGCCCCCATCTCCCCATCGTCCCGGTCCCTTGCTCACTCAGCCTCATCCTCTGCCCCAGACAGCACACAGGCTCCTGCCTTGGGGCCTTAGCTCCTTTGTGCCCTCCGTGGCCGCAGGCCCTGTCCCTGGTAAGCCTCACTCCTTCCCAGCTTCTCCCTCAAGGGTCTCCTGAGCCCTCCTCGCCTGTCGCCAATCTGCCAACTCCTGCTCAAATCTCCTGTTCCTGGGCTCAGACGTCACTTTACAAGTCTTGAGTTTGCAGGGGTTCAGATGAGGAAACTGAGGCTCAGAAGGGACTTGCTCAAAGTCAGAGAGAGTGGCAGGTCTCCCAAGACTGGGTTCATTGCGGTGCCGCTTGCAAGCTGGGAATGGGAGCAGCCAGTGCATGGGCCACAGGGCTGCGGCACTGGGCCATGGAGCAGACAGTGGGCCCCGGACTGCAGAGCCAACCCCTCTCAGGCCGAGGAGGAGGGGCCCCACCAGTCCACCGCAGGGGTGAGCAGGGGCCTGTAGCCAGGGCAGGCAGAAGTGACCTCGGGATTCAAGCCCCTGGAGGAGCCCAGGAGACCATGATGCTCAGGTGCCTGGAGAGGCCTGGGGATGGAGTCCGGCTCTCTGTGGGCTCAGCCTCAGGAGGCTGAACCTCTAGGTGGCAGGAACTGTTTGAGGATTTGGGTAAAGGCGTGGCTGCCGCAGTACAGGTCAAACTGTGTGAAATGGCACCTATTCAATGCCCACTGACCGCCCACACAGCAGCGACTCCTTGTGAGATTCAGTCTGATAGGAAACTGGGACAGTTCACTAAAGGGTGGGTACAAATTTGATTCACTCACCAGCCTGCTCATGCGCTCACCACTATTTACTGTGCCCAGGCGGTGGCTGCAGGCTCTCTTCCAGGGTGTGTGGCCCAGGAAGGCCTCTGGATTTAGGAGGGAGGGAACTGGGATGAGGCTGGGGGAGCAGCGTGCAGGCCGAGGGAATGGGCCTGCGGAGGATGCGAGGGGATGCAGTACACTGGGGAGGGAGCAGCAGAGGTGCAGGGAGCCAGGAGCTGACCCTGTGGCACTGTCAGACCAGCAGCAGTCTGGACCTCCCTTTATGTGACAGAAGAGCCGCCGCCCCGAGGGGAGAGGGCTAGGGAGTGACAGATTAGCAACACCGCTCTGGCTACTGGGAAATGGCAGTGACATTAGGACCCCAGCAGTCTGAGGAGCCCTTTCCCCTCTGGTGTTTGGTTTTCTCACTTGTAAGCGAGTATCCTGTTTGAAGGCAAGGTGCTCAATTCGAAGGTTCCCTGGCTTCTGGTCTGTGCTTTCACCTTTCTGGGGTTGTCTGTTCTGGGAGCACCCAGCTAATTAGGGCTGCCTTGTATGGCAAGGATCAGGGCTAAAGTCATTGACTCTTGGAGCTGTCACTCGGCCCTTGAAAAATCTGCCCAGAAACCCCATCCCACGCATCTGCTCACATCCCATTGGCCAGAACTCAGTCACATGGCCGGCTACATTTAACTGCAAGGGAAGCTGGGAAATGTAGTATTCAGAGCAGGGGTGAGCCCACATGAGGCTTTGAGACTGCGGAGAAAGAAGCAAATGGAGGGCCGGGGATTTATCTCAGCGGTTCGGTGGCCTGCCTTGCAAGCCTAAGGACCGGAGTTCAATCCCCGGTACCAAAAAAAAAAAAAAAAAAAAAAAAAAAAAAAAAAAAAAAAAAAAAAAAAAAAAAAAAAAAAAAAAAAAAAAAAAAAAAAAAAAAAAAAAAAGAAGCAAATGGATGTAAGGAGAGCAGCACACCCAACACAGGCTCTCTGAGACCTGAAGGCTCCCTCTCATCCCTACCTTCCCCTCCACTCTCCTGCTCAGCTCCGTCTCCACCTCCTGGTTTTCCCATATAGATCACAGGAGAAGGTGATAGGAAGAGACACCGTGGACAGAAGAAACTGAAACCCAGTTTGAGCTGCCCCAGGGTGGAAAGGGGCGTTTACTATGCAGAGGGAACCTGAAAGCCAGAGGGTGGTGTTGGCTTTCAGAATGGCACGAACCTGTGGTAGTGCTGCCCTCCAGTGACCCCAGAGCCACCTCCTGGGGCAGCAAGATCTCTGTTGCAGCCCAGTCAGCAGGACAGGGCCTGGGCCTTTCTCTGGTGCTCGGTCGAGTTGGACCAGTCCTCGGGCTTGACCTTCGGTCGTGTGTCCTTCCCAAATCAACCACAATGGCTGAGGGCAGCCGACTTTGTTGTCCAAGCCTGGGAACTCCACCCAGACTTGCTCTCAGGGCAGAGGACTTTTCATCTGTATCCCACACTGCTCGGGCTGTAACAAAGTACCAAGACTGGGCCCTAAACAACAGACATTTATCCCCACACTTCCAGAGACTGGAGGTCCAAGACCAAGGTGCCGGCATGGCTGGTTTCTCCTGAGGCTTCTCACAGAGCTGTTTCGTCATTGTGTCCTCACTTCGTCTTTCCTTTGTGTGTTTGCTTCTGGAGTCTCTTTTTGTCCCATCACATGGGATTAAGGCCATCCTAATGGCTGTATATCCTGAATCTGGGCTTCCCCTTCTCTTGCTGGTTTATCTTTAACTTGGCATCTGCTTATATCACCCACAAGAAAATCATTTCATCTTCATCGAGTTCAGTTGTGATTGTGCAGGGTTCTACACCCACTGTCCAGTAGGCTACTGCTGCTGCTATTGCATGGCCCTGCCCAATGCAAGATGGGCCAGGACTCTGCATCCTTGCCCAGCTAAATGGGTGGAACACACCAATAAAAAATCACACTGGCCTCTTGGATTGCATTTCCCTGAGAACTAAAGGGGTTGAAAGCTCTTCCTCTATCAACTTCTCCCTGAGCTGCCTGTTCTTGTCTTTTGCCCATTTCTCTGTTGAGCTCTGGGTTTCCATCACACACGGCCAATGTGGTTGTCCTGGGTCATGGTACAGGAGAGCCAGGGCTGGGCCAGGCAGTCTCTATGCATCATTCCCTTCTGCGATGCCTCTTCCAGTAAGACAGTCCTTTCCAACAGATCACCTCACACTGTCCTCATCACCCCTGAAAGGAGTGACATCCATCTCCATGCCAATCTCAAGTGAGGCTAAGGGTGACCAAAGTCGTGAGGCTGTTTCGTGGCAGGGCTGAAGTGGGTACAAACTCCCTGTCACCGGAGGGACCCTTCTGTGTGTGCACCTGCAGGATCTGAGATTCCCTCCTCTGCCGTGTATTTGAGAACCTCCCATCGGGTTGCTGGGTTGTGTGGCAGCCAGGCGAGCTTTGGAACAAAGTTGCAGGCCAGGTCCCCATCCCACCCCATCTTCCCTTTGCTCAGGACCCCGTGCATCTGCCCATCTGTAGCCAGGAGCATCACACAGTGCTCGGTGATGCTGACAGGTGGTGGCAGTGTTGCATGACATAGTACATAAGACCCTGGCACCCAGTGGGTTGGGGCAATCGGAGGGTGGCCCTTTCCCTTCCAGGAGGCCTGTGTGCCCATCTCTCATGAGCAGCAGCTCAAGGAACTGGGGTCATGTGCTCTTGAGTTGACTCTTGGTGGGGTAGAAGCTGCTGGTCAGATTACTGAACTGACCTAAGCTTGTTAGACGGACTCCAGATGTATCCCCAAAGCCATCCACTTTTCCCTGCTGCCTGCCCTGACTCGTCCCTGGTACTGTGAGGATGACCTTCCCTTTCTGGTACTGGGCAGGCCTCTGCTCACGGGTCACCTCCTCCAGGAAGCCTTCTTTGACCTCCTCACCTGAAACAGCACCTCCACAGGTCATCCCATGCTGGTGCCTTTCCAGTGCTGGCCATTTGGGAAAGTGATTTCGCTTATTTATGCAAGAGTGAGTCCAACATTCGTCCTCTTCTCCGGCTGCACAGAGCCCTGATCTGTCCACTGGTCATCTGCTCTC